GGGTAGATATAATTGGGATTTGTTTTGTTGACGTACTGTAGTTAATTAGAAAGATATGAAATAGAACATTAGCCTAGTATGTCCTTTAAATGAGATGCAAATAGTTCTAAAAGAATTCGTGACTTAATGACAAAACATTAAATATCTGAATTGAATATGAAAGGGGTCGATGGATTACCTCCCTTCGTTATTAGTTCACCCCTTTGTATCAGATAAGTCAAAAATCAATTTTGCTCTGTAATGTATTATACTATTGATAGTATGTTGACATATTATTTCACCAGATTAAATGGCGATTTTGTTGCTCACAAATGTTTCACAATGTGGAGATGGATGTTATCACATGAAAAACTGGAGATTTTATGTCCTGCTTACATTGTATATTGTTAAGAAAATCTAAAAATTCGTATTTAATGGTACTGGTATGTGAATGAGCACTTTCAAGGTGTCTTAACATCGTTTTCTGTGGTCAGGTGGATGGTTAAGAGTTCTGAATGTGACTAGAGTGAATAGGAGGAAAAACTAGCGATAAGCAATTATTTAAAAGGTCATTTAAGGTTCAATATAAAATGACTGAACGAGCAAAAGAGTCCCTACATGAAACACTTCATAGTTTAAGTACATATTGATGTGATACCCGAAACCTGAAGATAAACTCACGATATGAAATGAAAGTAATTAACTTATATGCAATCTTACTATGGGCCTATTACGATGCTTACTCGACAAAAACATCAATTAGCATCAGAAAACGCAACGATAACATTACAGGTAGTCGGATGGCACAGTGGGTAGTGCACTCTCCTTTCACCAAGGCGGCCGGGGTTCAATTCCCCTATCAGACGTGAAAAGGTATGAGGTCACTTGCCAACCACGTGATTTTTTTCCTGGTTAGTTCGGTTTCTCACCACGCGCGCTAACATCCTGGACAGCAGGAGTGATAATCATAAGTCGAAATAACTTGTTTTATACTTGCTGTAAAATAAATAAATTTTATTTGTTACATTACAGATGAGTCCGTGTCAAAACACGGGTTCTAAAACAGTGTCTGGTTTAAAGTTGGATACACGTGTGACAAAAAAATACGAGAGCATTATAGCACGTTCCTAGTCAATTTTGTCCACATGATTTCATTTTATTTACCACAATTGTTTTTTAGAGCAATGTGATTTCAACTATATTCTCAATTATAACAATACTCTAACTAACGTTGAAATAAAAAATAGAAAATGAAACTAAAACCGATTAAATATTTGACTTGTCAATGCATAATGGCGATGAAAAGCGTTGTTGTGTAGAATGTAGGAGAAGGGAGATAATTCTGTCGGTGAAATATGGTTATTAATAGGACCATAGGAGTTGTCTTTCCTTAGTGCAAAATCGCTCAGTTCTGAGTATGAACCAATTTTAAAGAGCTGTTTTTGAATTCCTACCCTGTAAATTAAGTTAAAGCACGCTCAGACACTATAAATGACCAACTAAAGCAATCTTATTTTTGGTTTTTATATAAAAGAAAATGATTAATTTTGTAACAGTAATAGAGTCATTCCGGATATATCGCAGTCAAACTCCAAACGGTTAAATTTGCAACCACCTCTTTGATGTTCGGGATGCTACAGGTACATTGTTTGTGTACGAGACATAAGCCGGTCCAACTCATGACAACCAAAGCATTCATGCAAGAGTTACTCCACGGAATATTTTGTGCGGACGACAAAACGCCGTTGTAGACGATGTTGTCATTCTGTGAACGACAAATACTTCGGGAAAATCACTATAAATGTTACATTATGTCACTTGCTTGCAGTGGGTATTTACTTGTGCGTGTACTTCACACTAGACTTGAAAACTCCCATACAAAATTTGTGTTGCCATCATAAACACCGTGCATTCTATCGCACCCGTTTGTAGTGCTAGACCAGTGCAGTACAATTACCGCATCAGTTTCCAACTGATACCACAGCATTATCTCCACAAACCCGGCCCCGTATTCATTAAACCATTCTCATGCTCAAGCATGGATTTGTGTTAAAGCCTAAATTATTGTTCCGTTCATGAATTAATATGAAAATTAATTTTGTCAATGACTCGGGGAAAACATTAAGAGAGTTAAAGTACTGTTTTCAATGTTTATGCTTGGCTTTTTTGGTCGTTTGAAATGATTTAATTGAGTTACAAGAAAGTTGGTTTGAGCATAAAATCAATGCTTGAGCGTGAGAACGGTTTCATGGATACTTGCCCCGAACAAAGATACCTGTCATAGGACGTGTCTATACAATAAGGAACCAAACAACTGTGTATGTTGGATCAGATTTATTTCCCCACTTATCGTACTCTATATGAGACAGACATGCACGTACAGAGGTAGCAAATACCTGTTGAACATCTTTAAGGTATGAACATTGACTTTTATGTTCACTTACTGAAAAACACATCAAATTTTCCGTTCTGATTTTTTTCGATCACCTGCGTTTGTATTTTATGCCAGTCTGACCAATTTAAATCTCAAAAATGTTTTAGATGAAGTATATACTGTAAACCAGGATACTTTCGCTGCAGTTTAATTTTCGTCTTTTTTCGCCCTCATTTTTCATCATTACAGGAACATAAGTAAATAATATCATATACATCTGTACATAGTAATTAAATGTGAAGGGCGAACTGAACCTTGGCGAATATTGATTTTACCGGCGAAGGGCGAAAGTTTGACTGGGCGAAAAAAATCATGGTATACATGTACCATTCATGTTGGATCTTACTTCAAATTTAAATACATTTTAAATTGTACTACTTTCAGCTGCACTGTTCAATTTACACGTTTTACTTTCACACACTTGAATATACATGAAATGTATTAATTTGAGAGGGTTTTTTTTCAAATAATTTTTAAATGACACGATGAACGCTACAAATTGCGACAAAAGAATTTATCAACGCGAAGATGTGCCTTATGAAAAGTATGTAATATTACAGTATCACATGTATAATTCCTAAGAGTAATCAATTGATGTACAATATAAAACATTACATATATAACAGGATATAACAATAGGATATTAGTGGACACAGGCATTGCTACCTCTATATCCACATCAATATAATTTGTAATACATTGTGGTAAACATAAAATAAGCCTATATATAAGACGATGTATGTACAACTCAAGATAATTCCGGAATTTGTCCAAGTTTTTCTCAAAGTCGAATACATTACGAAATGAAATAACATCTTGTGGGTGACCATTCCAGATATCAATTATTCTTTGAGTAAAGTAATGTTTTCACATATATAAATGACCATGTTTGAGGTTTTTTTTACTCTGTCTTTTACAATCCCTCCACCAAATTCGGTTCCTATAGCTCATTCATTAGCCTGAACACTCTGATCATATATCCGCGCAAGCGCCTGTAAGCCTTAGTCGGCGTAGTATCTCCTTGCAGCTAATGGTCGTCAATGCTGGGAGTAGTACAATAATGTAACAATAGCAAACTGACAGGTTGACAATAGCACATCCTCGATGCTCCCATCCTCGACATCCAAGGGTTACGCTCACGTACGCTCTCTGCACCCCTGGATTATGTCATGGCAAAATGGAAGGCTCAGTGTGTGCCATCTTGTTGGTGAGACTAGAAGACTGGTTTTATCCTTGATGTACATCAAAAGAATCTTGCGGTCGCGTGACGGTAAAATTGACTGACTTTGAAATCGGGTGTCGCCCCTTGTAATTTTCAAAGGACAAATATCAGTCTAGCGATTTGTCGGTTTTCTTTACCCGATACCAAACAAACAGCTGTATTTGTGCCTTCTATTTTGCTATGACATATCCCAAGGGTGCAGAGAGCGTAAGTGAGCGTAACCCCTGGATATCGAGGATACGATACTCCAGAGATTATGCTCACTTTCGCTCTACGCACCCAATAGGAAAATTGAAGGCATGCGAGTGACTATTTGATTGTTCTCAGGTAAAAATACCTGATGCATCGCTAAGGCTTATACCTCTCCTTTGAAGATTACAGAGGAGCGACACCCGACTTCAAATCTAGTCAATTTTACCGTTATGCGACAGACATATTCATTTAATGTATATCAAATAAACAAACTAGTCTTCATGTCTTCACCACTAGATGATTACAGTGAGCCTTCGATTTTGCTATGACTTATTTTACGGGCCTCGATCAGTTCTTTCTCTCACAGAATGGACAGTGAGGGTTTTCTCCTACTTAAAACATAGCACCTCTTTGTGTTAATAAAAGATAGCATTTTGCGTTCAGAATGGTCAAATAGTATAAAAAAATATACAGGGCACTGATCAATAGCTGTTCAATCAACCATGAAACATATTGGGTAAAAAAGGGTAATGAGTATAGATCTTCTATGAAATCATCGTGTCTATTCAACACCATTTTCGCACAAATGGAAAGTTTATTACCTTCCTTTATGACCCGACTTTCTTTAGAATGAGAACAATGTTAGATGGAAAAATGAAGCAGTTGGCAAAACAAGGCCTAGGATTACAAAAACGACCGGCAGATATTATTAGTGAAGAGCAGGAGCGGACACTGTGGAGAACAGCTGTTTTAGGCTCTGATACCCCACAGAAACTGTTAGAAACCATGATTTTTCAATTTGACTTCCACTTTGCTGTGCAAGCAGGACAGGAACACCGTAATCTCAGGTTTGGCGCACACTCTCAGGTCTCCCTAAAGGAGGATTCACAGCTTCGTCAATATCTGGAATACTGTGAATATGTATCTAAAACGAACCGGGGTGGGATTCAACATAGGAATATTGAGCCAAAAATATCCAAGGCCTATGCAATATCCAACAAGGAAAGATGTATTGTGGAGTTGTACACAAAATACATTCATGCTAGGTAAGTGGTTATCTTGTTGGTTAAGAAATTAATGATTGAAATATAATAAATGAAAAAACGAAAAATAATTTAAAATATACATATAAAATGTATTTTTTACCCGACACCAATCAAATAGCTATCCGTGTGCCTTAATTTTGGTATGACATATTCCAGGGGTGCAGAGAACGAAGATGAGCGTAACCCCTGGATATCGAGGGTAGAAGTATTGAAGATGTTAATAGCGGTGCAAAATTGTAATCGCCTAACGCAGGTCTTTTTGAAAGATCTGCTTCTTGACCAGCTATTAGGCATTTTGCGAAACCGTTCAAAGTGACCTGGATTTTAACAGACTTTGCCAAAAAAAGGTTCTATCTCCTTTCTAAGACCATTCGCATACTAAAGTCTGAGGTTTGTTCAGTCGTTTCATGAAATTATATTTTTATACCAATTACCTCGACCTTTGAACTTTCTTGTCCATAGAGCAGCTCACGTACCAAGTATGAGCTTGAACGTGTACGATAAGTTTTCGTTTGTAAGGATCTAGACGTAAATATTCCTTTATCAATAACAGTTACCTTGACATTTGACTGACCACACTGATCAAGGCCTAGACGGATTTTCAAAGATATGGACGCAATTTGGTTAAAGTGTATGCTAATGGAGCTAATGAGTATTATACTTGCCTTTGAAGGCTGGTGCTACTTGTTTACAAAAGTAAGAAAGGGGTACACTTTAAGGGGCTTATGATATCTACAATATTAAATCAATTAACTGATTGCTAGACAATGAAACGATACATGGTATTCAATTTAATTATGATAGCAATGATGTACACAATCGATTGAACACACACATATATATATACTGAGCCGAACTAGAATCCGTTGAATATCAAACATATATCACATGTAAAACAACTGCCACCAAACATATTAGAATAACAATATACATACAAAAATATATCTACTGAACGGCTAATTTACTCGAAATTTACTCATGTAAGATACCACACACAGTGAAACGCTATCTGGAACACAGTCCATATTTCTGCCTTTTGAGATCTTTTAGGGTCATTTTTTTGTATATAAGTATATACATATGCTCATAATTATACATTAATGGAACCCTATCTGATACTCGTATAGGTTTCATCTGGAGATAACATAGACACATATCAAATACCAGATAATAACCGTCTTATGTGTAAATTTATTTGTCATAACCATAGAGGCCAATTATTAAAAAGAGCACAAATCACCCTGATTGTTCGTGTCTACATCCATTTAAAAAAAAAAAAAATCTGCAACGAATAAAATTTGCAAAATGGGCTTAAAATATACTGAATACTACTTCAGAAAATACATTGATTTAGTGACAGTTTAGTGTTTGATTACCGCTAACTTTGACTTGACACAATTTTTTTTTGACCTTTTGCTTAATATTTGCAATAAGCATTAGTATGTTTGGCAATGCCGTGCTTAATTAATATAGCAAAACAACATTATCATATTGATAAGCAAAAATGTGTCTATATGATTGATACAACTGACCGATTTGTATTCAAACAATGCATCTTTAATTACTACGACTAAATCTACGTAGGACTAAAAAGGAAACTGTTCAATGCCAAGCATTTTGCAAACAAAGCAAACAAGAGGCCCAAGAGGCCTGCATCTCTCACCTGGTATTAATATCATGCTTGTAACCTTAAAAGTGACCTAAAATAAAGCTACAGGCAAAATATCAGTATTTATGGTTCTAAGTTACTTAAATTCAAAAGAAGCTGTTAAAAGATTTCAACGCATTTACCTCTTTGACCTAACAAGGTCATTAAGTTGAACAAACTTGTGAGCACTTGATCCCAGCATGCAACTGGCCTAATATCACCACCCCGTGCATTTTGGTAAACCAGAAGATGTTTAAATGTTTTCAACACATTTGACCCCTATTACTTTGTATATGGGTGAAAATCATTCATTTGAAACAACTTGGAAGCCCTACATCCCTGCGTGCTACAGGTCAAAATATCATTATCTTGTTCAGAAGAAATTGTTTATATTTTTTTAGACAATTGACACCTTACGACTTTAGGCGAAGGTCATTTATCGATCAAACTTGGTAACTCTGTATCCCTGCATGCTACTGTGCTGGCCAAATATTTTCACATTGAGTCTTTTAGTTATTCAGAAGACGTTGTTTGTACGGTTTTTTAAGATAACTTATCACAGTGGCTTTTGATATTAGTGAAGGTCATTCTTTTGAACAAACTTAGTGATCGTTATCCCAATATGACACTGGCTTATATATCATTATCCTCGTGTCTTTGGTAATTCCGAAAAGGCTGTGTGAATGTTTTTAAAGGCAATTGACCTCTGTGACATTGAATTTGTATGAAAGTCATTCATTTGAACAAACATGGTGACCTTTTTCAACCCTACACTCCTTTATTTCTTTGCCACTGTTTTAGTCCTATTTTTAAGGTTACTGTTTTGCGCATACTGTTAAATCACATCATAAAACATTGATGGCAATAAAAAATATACAGAAGAAACTAATTTTAAAAACATAATAAATAACAGTGTTGGCAAAAAAACCGGAAAAAAAGCTCATTTAAGAACAATAACATGTAACAGGTATAAATCATGTATATTTATAATGCATTCATTTAAGGAATCGATGTTACATTTAAATTGTCCGATAATGAATATCCAAATATATCGAAATCCGATCGATATCGATTGTATAACTTCTGTATATAATCAGCAGGAATCTGGGAATAAAAATTGTCAAATGTGTTAATTGTTTTCTCTGTAGAGTATTTTTCTGACCTTAAAGGAAATCGAACTTCAGGGGGAGCTCCGATGTCCTTTAGAATAAAGTCAGCATCTCTCTTTATAGTTTCGTATTTTCCAACAAAGTCATAATTAATTAAACAGGGACGACATAATCGTGCGTACAGTTCCCAGTGGTCGTTTAAATGTTTAGTATCTTCGTCTGTGAGAAATTTCACAAATTCCAAAAATGTGACGTCATCACCTTTTTTGAGAGACTCACGTGTTGCATTTAATCTAATACGTTTCACAATTAACTTTCCAGCCTCTCGAAATGACGTATCCTTGATTCCTCTACCTGCCAATTTATTTCTGTAGGCTGATAGAAGTCTTTCCAATGGGTTCCTTACCACTATGTACTTTTTATATTCCTCAAGCATTTGTTGTCTCCTGCGAAATGAATATTTGCGCAGAAAGTTCAGTTTTGATTGATGGTAAGTATGGACGTTTCCAAAGTTCAACTCAGAAGAATTCACTGATCCTGTCAAAGATATGAAAACAGTCTTCCACTGCGAACAGGAAATTTTTGGAATGTAGCAAAACATCATTTTGTATTTCTCGTCAACAATAATATAATCTAGATATTGGCTGCCATTTTCGTCTTTTCGATAATGTTTACATTCCCGACGAAGATGCCGTACTCTCTCTTTGTTTTCGTTCTCTGCGGATGTGACAGTTGTCCTACCGTCCTGGAATACATATATACATATACTTGACAACAACAGGCAATAGCTTTGACAACAAGTTATTTGTCCACCAGATTTTAACATGATACAAGTGAAATACAATGTACAAGTATAGAAATCTCAAATCGATCTTAAATAGTTTTTCTCATGATATCAAACAAAAATACCAAAGTGTCAAGAAAACACGTAATTATAACTCATAATCGATAAAACTAGAACTAAATGTGAACTAAAGAATCGTTTATATTAAATATGAAGACTACAAAGAGAAGAATACAAGGAGTTTCGGAATAGGAAGCGTCTTCTGCTTCATTGACAGTACCCTCAATGTAAAAAAAAGTAGATTGCAATCTATGATCTGAAATCTTTGAATGATACTGTATGCCTTATTTGTCAATCTATCACAATGAGAGCATAGATAATGTGTCATACTAAAGTACGTATGACTGGGCTGTTCAGAATTGAGCGTTTGGCGAGCATCTAGATCCGACAGAAGTTTGTTTCTCTATTTGAAAACTTTTCAGGAGAATATGATATGTGTGCTACACCACTGTGGACCTAAACAGAAAAGAATGAAAAATGTTAATGTTGATCTTATTGCAAAGTTTTATTGAAAGCATATATTGCGAGCTTTCGAAAGCATCTGTATGACCAGTGTCTCGACTCTTAACCGCTAAAACAATTCACTAAGCCCCAATGTGTCGAGTCGGTAAAGTCAGCTGTCAAAATATATAGAGACGTTTCGCCAAAAAGCACTCTTATAATGCACGCAGTCAGTGGGACGGGAATATGTTAACCCAATCCCTTCCTTTGAATTTGTTAAAATTTGGTGAAGCTGCCCCTTTTGTTTGGTAGTAGGTATCAATCTCTATTCTATTATTTGAAAAGAAACAATGAAGTGTCAAACAAGTAATTAAGTCCACAATTCACTCTCACTCTGACACTCACCAACACATCGTAACAGGCTTTCAAAATCAAAGTATCCGACTGCTATAACCAATATTTAAACACTCTGTTGACATGTAAATCAAAAACAGAACAATCCGTTTCCACATGCAACTCATTCAAACAGCAGGGTATGATATTTGTCTGACATATATGGTCCTGAACACAGTTGGTAGCCATTTAAGCGAAAATACTAATTCAATCTTCTAAAGCGATCGGCATTTCATGCAGGCCATTTGGATTGACATGTCTCGCCTGTGGCCCGCTTTGACCATCAATGCACATGCCAGAGAAACTAACTTAAAAGCAAAAACTTAATGTTGATGGCGTTGCTGACCAAGTCAATGGACCATGAAAGGTAGGCCTCTTCCAGCATTTGATGCATGCACATGTACTACCTACATGTAAGATGCAGCTATTGTCCAAGTTTGGTGGGTGTAGCACTAACAGTTTCAGAGAAACTAGCTTAAACGCAAAACCTCAATGATAATGGAGATACTGACCAAGTCAATGACCATGACCGGTAGGCCGCATCCAGCCTTTGATACATGGGTTGAGATCTACTACTAACTGTGCATCTATGGTCCAAGTTTGATTGGTGTAACACTTATACTTTCAGTGAAACTAACTTAAACGCAAAAACTTGATATGGATTGAGATGCTGACAAAGCCAATGGAACATGAAAGGTCGACCGCATTCAGGATGTAATGCATTGGTTTAGAAGTCCTAACCAAAATGCATCTATGGTCCAAGTTTGGTTGGTGTAGCATTTATTCTTTCAGTGAAATTAACTTAAACGCAAAAAACGTTATGTTGACGCCGTCGCCGGAAAAGCAACTACTAAGTCTCGACGAGACAAAAAATGAAACAAACAGATAGAATACCGTGTAGGTGACAATCTATATTACAATTAAATGTGTATTTACCTCTCCTGTTCTGTCTAACGGCAGTGACTTTACGGGCAACAAAGCTCCACGCAACGCACTATCTGGATAAAATGAAATTAATAAAATAATCATCATAACTAAAATATTGACAGATAGTCGGACATGGAATAATCGTCGAAACAGATATTTACTCATCTAACGAATAGTAATCCTTTTCTTACATCTCGGCAAGGTTCTTTTTATTTTTCATTTAGGATAATACACTTTAAGCAGAACGCTAGCCTTGGCAAACTACACGGTCATGTGTTTGGTAAAATAATAATTATGCGTTGGTTAAAAAAGTAAAATTATGCACATACTTAAACAGAAAACTCAAAAAGAATATCACAGAATGTAATAAATAGTCGTAATTCATATTGTTTATAACGTCACTTGTACGCTTTTATACATAATATTTAAAAAATAAAATGAAATAAAAACATTTTCCGTTTTAAGTGAATAGTTAAACTGAGAATTCATGAAATGTTGCAAAATATTGTATAGTGTTGGAAAGACTAGTCAAACTGTGGATACTAGGGGGAAAAACGTTCGGAATAAATTGGAGTTTATCAATGCAAATACATGCTACGTAGACATAGAAGGAATATTAAAAGACAAAGGTAACATGATAAATAACCAGGTAGAAGTTTTCTTGTAAATCACAAGTTTTCCCACAAAATGCCAAATACATAACCAATGAACATCTAATTTTCGAATTGAAACCTTTCGTTACATACATTATATGCTTGATTTTATGCTTAGAGTAATGTGTTTATCAAGATAGTATGTATAATCAAAACGTCTGTTACGGCAGACCTCCGGGTGAGAAATCGTGCTAAAATTGCTGCGTTCGCAACACGATTTCTCCCCCCTGTACGATTTCTCAACCGGTGAGAAATCGTGCAAAACATATGGGCATAGATGACACGTTGTCTCACCCGGCACGATTGTCCATTTTCAATAAGACGATGTCAATAAGACGATGTCAATAAGACGATTTCAATAAGATGATTTCAATAAGACGATGAAAAAAATATACTGTTGCCCGATTCATACAATGCACGTGCGCGCACCTTCTTAACCACATCAAACGCAATCTGGTTCACCTAAATTGTGAGAGAATTAACACATATGATTCCTCTTCTTTTGATGGCAGTACCTGTATTTATCTATTTTATTTATTATTCGTTTACTTTTCATTCCATTGAATATCCTATACAAAGAGACATTTCCAAAAGACAATTTGCGCGCGATATACCGCATATAAAAATATGCAAGTCATATCTAACAAAGGACACTTTTCTTTAGCCAAAAAGAAAAAAGATACGATTTTTTACACAACATGAACTTACTAAAGCAGATGTGAAATCATTGCTCTAGAAGGGTACATACATTTGCTTTTTTATTATAAAGTATAACAATATCTACTCCTAATAGGAACCGTTACACCATAAGGTGTCGAAGCTAACCCAATAGTCGCAAGTTAAGCATCGGAAAATGATGGCAATGCCATAATGCTAGGGTTGTCAACCCGGTCTTATTTTTGACAAACAGTCGGACCTCGTTATCTCGAACTCTTTTAACTCGAAGACCCCGTTTATCTCGAAGTATCTCTCCGGTCCCGACCAAATCTTTTCTTTATCTTAGTAAATAAAACTCTGATAATTCGTACATGTATATATCAATTAGAATTATAGCTTACTTGTGTATTTCAAGCTAAACACAGGAAATAGTTGCATGTAACCTCAGTATATTTCATGGACAACAAATGTCGGAATTCAGTAAGACAGATTCAACTACAGTTATTTGTACTCGAAATCATATGTGGTAGATTAATATTAATCTTTAGAACAAAATTTGCTTGACAAACGTTTTAAGACGTGCTTGCTAATTCAAGTGTGTACTCTTCAGATGATCTTTACATCTAGCAAGTAAAGGCGCGTTCTATCTCTTATAGTTGACATTTCACAACTTTGTATTCAGGCTTCCTATTAAAATCTGTTCAGACTTCGTTATGGCGTTGGCGACATCTCTTTGTCAGTATTTACAATAGAGTACAAAATTAAAACTAACATGCAATCCCTGAGCACTGTTTTTATTACAAAACTATCCGATTTTGTTCGCATCTGTACAAATGCAGATATTTTGTATGTCTAAGCCAGGGAAACATGGGGCTCCCAAAAGGAGTAAGTAAATGTCCGCCTATTTGGTTATCGATTTTGGTAACCGGTACCTGATTTTTCGGCCGAGTAACCGGTTAACCGGCTAACCGTTGACAACCCTACATAATACATCTACATACCAAATCTATAACATCGGTCAATATCTAAATTTCGATCAATCAGGACCCGACCTAACACGCATATTTTGTCAAATAAAAAAAAATCAACGCAGATCGCAGTGGTGTTTGTAGTGATATTGCACACTGTTACATAGGGATATTTGACAATGCATAAGTTTCGACTAATCAGAAGCCAGTCTGCTGCAGCAATCATTTTGCGAAAGATGTTGGCTTTTTCCCATCTTCAAGAGCACGATTAGAATATTCACATTAAACAACCTTTATTGTGGTCCATAAATGAGAACAGAAATTATTATAGCATGGAATGACTCAGCAAATGATAGGCCATGATTTAGATCTGTTCGGAAACTTAATATCGAATATCATCAGTGACTACATGTATTATATGTAACTGCAGTACACCTCTATTACTATGATACTTGTATTCATCTGTACGCACGCGTATACATTAAATCGTTGTATGTTTCATTTCTGTATATACTTATATGTGTTATTTGTATATACTGAACTTGTACATTGGCTATACAAAAATACATAGCCAGGTTAACGTAGACAAAAATAAGGCATTAACGCTGATGTCTCCATAAAAATAGCTCACATGTTAATCTCTTTTGCGATCCAACTGAGTGCTGAGAAATGACCCATAATTTAAAGTTTATTTATATACCTAGGTCATGTGGAGCTTTATTTCTCTTCTACTAGCTGTTGAGAGAATTCCGACCTCAAATAAAGATAGATGTTGCCATGCGAAACCACTAAAATCATAGTAAAATCCACTGGTAATACATTTTAGAAATTAATAAAAAGGAAAACAAATGTTAAGTAACCTTGATCAGTAAACGAACTTTAGATGATGTGCCATTTGATAACATTCTATGATTATATGCATGTTATAAACATTGAAGCTGAAAACTACAACAATGTTTATAACAAGTCTAGCTCTTTTACAAAAACATGCAATGTTAAGAAACGACGTTTTCTATGAAGTTTAAGTGGTGTGTATGGTCAAAGGTCTATGGTTTTACACATATATACCGGTAAAATATGTTACGGGGACGTTTAATTATGATTTTTGTACTTTTCAATAGTAACAATAATCTTCTTGTGAGGCCGGTATACCTCTCCACACATAGTGAAAGAGAAATAAAGCCACGCATGACCGAGGTATAAAAAATGATCTTCAAATAACATGTCATTTCGTCACATTCGTTTGGGTCGCTTAAGAGATTGACATGTTATAAACCTATCACTACATCAGCCTTAATGCCGTATTGTGACTCCGTTAACCTAGTTATGTACCTTTTTAATAGCTTATGTACAAGTTCAATATTATACAATTATGGACTTCAGGTTAGGTCTATCCCTGATTTACGGACCTGGTCTGAACAATATTCACCTCGGCCTTCGGCCTCGGTGAATATTGTTCAGACCAGGTCCGTAAATCAGGGAGAAACCGAAACTGAAGTCCACAATTGTTTTATTATATGACATTTTAAAATGAGATTGATATTTTTTCAAGTTATAAACACACGGATGACACGGACCATTTTGGAATCACAGAGTAAAGCACTTCAAATACAAAATAACATACACACAAATTTAATTTTAAATTCAATTCATGTGATATTTTAATTCAAGTAAACATTATTTTCACAATCGACATTATCAATATTCACATAGTTCAGAATTCGATGAGATAATTCATTTGTAGTTGAACTCAGTAGTGTGATTGGTAACAAAATCACAGACTTGCTGGGAAATTATCTATGCCTAGTTTTAGTAGCGGTCTGTAACACTTTTCTATTTATAGGTCGAGGTTTGTAACACTTTTCTATTCATAGAAAGAGGTCTGTAACATATTTACAGACTCGTCACATGATGTCGCTCGTCCAATCAGGGTTGGGAATAAGCACCAGTCATATTAAAAATTCAAATTACATCTATATCTTCCGATTTTTGATAAGGGTATATAAATATGACTTGCCAGGGGGTTGAAATTTAGGGTGACTATTACATCTTTTAGGGGGCTTGTTGAAACTTAATTCAAAGTCCTTGCATACACATGTGAACTTTATTACTTTTATCTGTTTTATCCAATCATCTATGCAATCTGTTATGGTATCGATCGGATAAACATTCGTCAATGTCTAAAAGTATTTCTCTCGTATTCACTGTCAGCAAGAAATTCAATAATATCGGAGCTTAATTATTGTGAACGTCAATGGCAGTCTTAAATTTGATTAAAAGCCTGTTTCCCATATCTCACACACTTTGAGATTTTTCACATTGCATCATGTTATATAAACTACGGAAAAAAATATAAAGTTACAGAATGCATTTCAAAGAAGATGTATGTGTGATATAGTTTGAAACCCATCGAAGTTTGTCGGCAATCCCGAGATATTAAAACTTAAAACTGTATTGCTGTACAATAATTAGTATGATTTGGTAATTATTTTTAGAATGTAAATAACTCGCTATCATATGCATTTTACCAAACAACTTATAAAAGAAATCTAACATCAAAAATTAATTCTTGGTCAACATCAATTTAATTATTTTCGTTCATATGCAAACGCTACAAATTTAAGATATTTTCGTAGGTGCCAATACATTCGCTGTAGATTCAGTAGACATAACTGCAGTGTCAAACCTATTCATATTCAGTTTTGTCAATACATACCTTGCTGTGTCGGTGTATTCCCCGGTTTTATGAATATTGCCACCAAGACGAAGAACGAAACCAATAGCACCAGAACGGTCAGTTTTTTTGGTCTCATTTTAGCAGTTAAAAGGACGGCTGTGGTACAACTGAAATACAGATGTGATATGACTACAATTAGTGGCTAAAAGTGGGCAAAACACGCTATGTCATTGAGATATGGTGACATATGATATTGATGTATGTCCAATATATTATTTGGATTGTAAATTGTGTGTAAATGTCCAATATATTATTTGGATTGTGAATTGTGTGTATATCCTCTTTTCGTCATATTCTGTTTCATCAAAGGGATGTATTAATCTAGAATATCAATATTTTGTTAATAAAGTGACGTACATTGTAAGTCCATCGGGTGTCAATAGTCCGTCTGAGTTGACGTGCTCATTGCTACTTAAATGTTAAAAGCCACGGCTTTCTTAAACGTGAACATGCTATTGAGTGTTGTTTTATAGTTAAGCTACTACGTTTTTCAAAGACAATGTCACGTAAGGCTTCTGTAAACATTTGTAAGAGTAAAATTGTATGTACACTGTATTCATAAAGCCTGTATGTAAACTTACCAACCAAAACTACTATAAAAACCAAAAACAACAAGATCTATTTCAGGTTGATGTTTTCAAATCGAAAATGTTCGAATATGATGTAATGGATTATACAGAGGAACAAGACCTACCAGGCATGTTACTTTTAATTGACTTCGAAAAGGCTTTTGATTCTGTATCATGGTCATTTATAAATCAAGTTTTAGAATTTTTTAATTTTGGTGAGTCAATTAAGCAGTGGATAAAAACATTTACAAATAATATTTCTTCTTTAGTGAACCAAGGTGGAAACCTATCTAAACCCATAAAATTAGGAAGAGGTTGCCGACAAGGAGACCCGTTATCACCATATATCTTCCTTCTCTGTGCAGAAATATTAGCAATAAAATTAAGAATAAATAAACATATAACAGGCATCAAAATCAACACTACAGAACATCTGATATCACAATTCGCTGACGACACTTCTCTTATTCTAGATGGCACTGCAATATCACTTAGACATGCTATAAAAGAGCTTAATTATTTCTGGGAAATATCGGGACTTAAATTAAATTACACAAAAACACAAGTAATATGGATAGGGAGTAAAAAGTATAGTACAGAAAAATTAGTCAATAATCTTGCTCTATCATGGGGTTCAACACATTTTAATCTGTTAGGTATTCACTTTGATGTGGACCTTACTAAAATAGTTCAACTCAATTTCAAAGAAAAAATTACGAAATTAAAATCATTAATTAAACAGTGGAATAGACGATATATAACTCCAATAGGCAGGATTACTGTAATAAAATCTCTACTTTTACCAATACTAACACATTTATTCATAGGACTACCTTCTCCTAACCAAAATATTATGATAGAAATTCAAAAGTTGTTTTATGAATACCTTTGGGGAAGTCCAATAGCTAAAGTAAAAGGAGATGTCATGGTCAAACAGTATGAAGAAGGTGGTTTGAAAATGATTAATATCAAACATTTTGAAATGGCTCTAAAATCAACATGGATAAGAAATATTTGTATTAAGACGTCAAATTGGCAAACCATACTGTTTGAAAAAATAAACAAGAAAAAAATGTTAACTTTAGGAAATAAATATATTGATTATGTTATCAAAAATATACTTCATAACAAATTTTGGATTGATGTTCTTCATGCATGGAATACATTAAGGGGAAACATTGATATATCTCAGTCAGATCAAGTATTATCTTTACCTATTTGGTATAATGACTTAATCAAAATAGGCAATAATACTGTATATTATAAGCGATGGTTTGATAAAGGTGTGTTTTTCATAAATGATCTAATTAAGGAAGATGGCAGTTTCCTTCAACATAATGAATTTAATGATATTTTTAATTTAAATACTAACTTTATTGATTATAATGGTCTCATTTTTGCAATAAGAAAATTAGGCTGGACTTTTGAAAAAAAACTTACACTACCATTGATACCACTGTATATTAATATAATTATCAAACATAAAAAAAGTACAAAGGATATGTATAATGTGCTGAACAAAAATAGTGTAGTGCCCACAGGTCAAATAAAGTGGAATAATGTATTTGGAAATATACCAAGTGAGGATTGGAAGAAAATATACAAACTACCTTTTGACACTAATACAAATTCGAAATTACAATGGCTGCAATTTAGAATTAATCATCACATTTTAGTTACAAACTCCTTTTTGAAAAAGATTAATTTGGTTCAGTCTGATATGTGTAATTTTTGCTTCATAGAAAAAGAAACTATTCAGCATGTACTATGGGAATGTAATACAGTCCAAAATTTTATTCTTGCTTTCCAAATTTGGATCCAAACTACTTGTAATGTGACTTTTAATATATGTAAAAAAGATTTTATTTTTGGGAAAATAACACAAAATCAAAATCAGAATAACAGGGCAGAAAATGTCATAATTCTTAATATGAAACACTACATATATTGTCAAAAGTGTTGTTGCAAAGAGCTTTACCTACCTACTCTAATCAGTAAATTAAAAACAGCATACTCTATCGAAAGATACATAGCAAAAAAATATGACAGGGAAGCATCTTTTATCAAAGATTTCAGCACCTTTCATATAGTTTTTAGATAATTAGATATATATATATATATAGATACATACATATACCAATCTATTTTTTTACTCTCCTCTTTTAGCAAGTTTTGTATTTCTTCCTTTTTTTTCATTTGCTGATATATTTACAATAAGCACCCTTTCATGAATAATTATTGCTTTCGTCGGGAATCTCTCTTCCTCTCTTCTTGTTCTTTTGTCTCTCTTATTCCTGTCCCTCTTTTCTGGATAAATTTCTACTTTTTAACCAAACTATCACCCAAACCCCGTTTCAATTAATTCCAGTCATTTTCTTGTATATTTATCTTTCTAGGCATATGTTATGCAAGTTAGGTTTGTGAACCAAATTTTAAATTAATGATAAACTGGTTATTTTGCAACAAAAAAGGTAAGATTCATATATTTTAATTCAAATCCTTCTTGCAGAACAGAGTTGCAAAGAATATTAATCCTGATAAAACTTGAAAATGTATGCTTAATCAAGAGTGTAATAATGTAAAGGACCGTAACTGTTGTATTCCATCCTCAGACGGTTCCTCATGTGTATGANAAAAAAAAAAAAAAAAAAAAAAAAAAAAAAAAAAAAAAAAAAAAAAATCGAAAATGTTCTTTGGTTTTCGGGGATCAATCAAGTAATATTGTCAAAATCAATTTTGTGACGTAAATTTCCGAACGGTTTCCGATTAAACTGACGAAAATGGTAACCATATAAATGAACAATACTACATTTATTCTGTAAAAATGCACAGTGGAAAAAGACTTTGTTTAGGCATTCCAGCCGATAAAATAAAGCTTTATAGATAGAATGTATTATACATGAAAGTTACAAGTTACCTCATTTTGAACGATTTGAAAACGTTTTCCTCCAGATGAATCAGACAAAGCGTGTTTTTGGCAGCTGCTAATTTCTTAAATATACATTCATATTTTGAAGCAATGTCATAAGTTGTGTAGTTAGTTCAGACCTGTAACAACGATCATGGAAAAGTCCTTTTTTCGAAAAAAACAATTTACGACCGTTTTGGTGGTTTATTTCGTCAATTTCTGCAAAATGCGAAGTTAAATTCAAATTCAATACCAACTATGATGATTGAACCATTTGCTACGTACAAATGTACATCTATAATGGCACTAAACTACACACTTCGTATGTCTACACCTCTTATTATTAACTAAACAATATCTCTTACTTCAAAAAATCAACAAAACCATCACATAATTATACGCTATTTCTCTACATATTTGATATAAACTTATTTCACATTTACACCAAAAAAGCAGCGCATCTTGAATGCTTAGAGTTAGCAATGCTGTAAACACACTGTCAATAAACCCTGTCAATTTGTTTGTTGGTTGGTTGGTTTGTGTTTTACGTTCTATTAACAGCTATGGTCATTTTAGGTCGTGCCAGGTTTTGGTGGCGATGTGTTATTGTTTTGTTGGAATTATAATAGCTTTTATGCACTTTTGTCTGTTCATTTGATTTTACAGTTTCATAGGGTCACAGATTGTTTTAGAACTGAAACTACATACAAGAAAACTTTATCGCCGCAAAGATCTTTTTTTGTTAAAGTTTTTCTCATATGCAGTAGTATAACCTCCACTAAACCTCCGTTTGGATATAACTGTAGACCAATCGGCCCGGACACTTCAGTCTACCAGGTAGCTTAATCGGTTAGAGCGATAGGTTAGCAGACTGAACATAAGGGTTCGAATCCGGGTCTAACCCCACCATGTTTCAAAACTAAAGTCCCGCCAGGAAAAAAGTCGGGAAAAAAGTTTCCAATACTCCCAGGGATTCTTAATATATCTCTTCTTAAACTTGTAATACATAAATACAAAGGAACATAATTAAAAGTGTGTAGAAGAAACAATTGTCTCAGATACTACTATATCATTTATTTATATATTATTATATTAATTGTTTAATATCAAAGCTCGTGTATTTTTTTCGTAAATGCCCCACTTGTTTCCGAATATTCCTTTGATATTGGCATGTATGCTTTGTGTCATTGTAAGAAAGCAATACACTGTCCAGATAAGATATTGTTTGAGTTATAAATGGCACCATGACGTACTATTGGTATTTCAGATATACAAAAATAATTTACTACATAAGTACAGGGTCACATGATACACTGTATGTGTGTGACCATGGAACGCAGCATTAAGTCTATTTCATTTGGCTTTTGACAAAATAATTTGCCATGCAACATTAATCTTACTATAAACAAGTGGCCTTGATAGTTTTAATGTTCACGGACGTAATTTTTGAAGTAATTATTTGGTGAATTCCACCGTGACTAAAAGATTTAAAACCATGCATGTAAAGTAAGGTTATGGTCATTTAAAGTGTCCACTCCAACTTGAGCGAATGAATAGGATGGTTTAAACGGGTAATCCTATAGGAAAACAGCAATTGTGACCACGACATTGTATGGGATTTAAATGTATA